AGGAACTTCGGTGGCCCATTTTATCAATAAACGCATATGGGACACGGATATGCGTTGGCACACAAAAAGGATCACTCTCATTTTATGATTTCAATCCTGAGAAAGAACAATTTACTTTCTTAAAAACGTAAATGCAATTGATTTTACTTGATATCGTCGCGGCTGAACCTGAAAACTGCTGAAGCAGGAAGTTTTAAAAATTTTGAGTGCATTTTTTAGCTTTTGTTTTTTTATTGTTAGGATTTAGGGCTAGTTTTGACAATAAGAAAATAAGTGGAGTAGTGTTCATATTTTTAAGTCGAGATCCCTAATTTCCAACATCAACCGTTTCCAGCTTTAGCTGCGTTAGATATTCGTTTTTATGTCATGGCATTAACTTATTTTATAAATTTTAATGTAGAGAAAGACTAACACGTTTAATTTCTGATTCAATTATGTTAAACGAAAATTTGGCAGTTGGTGCTGACAAATGTGGAAATATATTCGGTTTATTATATAATAAAGGTATTAATTTTCAAAGTCATGTCAAACTCTGAGCTTAAAATGTCTAAAGAATTATTATTGATTCTACAGATGATCCAAGTATTGAACCATGTTTGGAACCAGTTTTTTCATTTCATGAAGCTGAAATTGTTTCACGATTACGTACTGGATATCTTGGTTATCGAACAGAAACAACGAATAAGCTCGCAGAAACATCGTCGGATCACAATTCTGAAGCCAAAGAAGTGCTTGACGATTTGGGATGGGACATGAACTATGATCTTACGCATCCAGGTGCAACAATTATTGGCTGTTCTCTTATTGGAAGTGTACTTCTTTTCATACGGATCAGCATAAAATCTTACCGACTCTTATCCGTTTTGCAATCTGTTCTTGAGAAATGGCCATCAACACGTCCATGTTTGGGTAAGTTTCTCTAAAGGTGTTAATGGGTTTACCGAAATTTTTTATTAATTGTTATTTTATTCAGGTAATAATAATATAAGATTTAGATCAGATAGTAATCATACCAGCTCTATCAATGTTATTGTTGATGGCGATATGGTGTCTCAATTTTTACGTTTGTCTCGACATGAACAGCTTAAAATTATTGAGCACAACCCGGAATTAATTAAGGCTGGATCAACTTTTATTCTTGGAGATAAATTTGAGTCGTATGAATATGAGAAACAAATTAGAGATACTTTAGAATATCATGAGGATATGGATGATCAACCCATGACTCCAGAGAATGAAGATGACGATATATATATGGAGGACGATCATGATTCTGACGATTCTTTAGAGATAATCGGAGAAACGAAGTTTTATAGAGACAATGTTAGACCGGTCTCTGTAGAAGAAATAGCGGAGGCCTTGCAACTTGTATTGTTAGAGTTAAATATGCATGTTTCATGATACCGACACATCAAAATATTATTTTAATTGCATTAAAATTATAAATTTTGTACGATTTTTTTTTTTTTTTTAATTGCATTAAAATTATAAATTTTGTACGATTTTTTTTTTTTTTAATTGCATTAAAATTATAAATTTTTGTACGATTTTTTTTTTTAATTGCATTAAAATTATAAATTTTGTACGATTTTTTTTTTTTTTTTTTTTTTTTTTTAGCATAAAAAATTAAATTCAACCTGCTTCAATAATTATTTAGTTCTGCAATATTATTTATTTATTCTTTTTTTTTAATGAAAATAAATCTATAGCTATGAACTCTTTAATTCTTTTAATGTTTCTTTTAATTTATCATGCATCTCCGTTCCTTCAAAATTCCTTGTCTTACCTATTAAACTTGTTAATAAACTTTTGGCTTGATATTTCCAATCTTTACATACCACTGCAGACGATATTTCCGTTTTTGAGTCTTCCGATGACACTTCTTTGTCGTTATGACTAATTTTTAAATCACCAAGGTTTTGGTAGGCCTCCACAACTTCTAATGCTGTAGTTGCGACTTGTTTAAATATATCTTCCGAAGTTCC